AATTATTTCTCCTATAATCAGATTATGCGATCCTGATTATTAAATCTGAACATGAACCATTGGTCATATGCGGGCAAATTAAACTGATTATTATTTGGAAATGAAAATCTTCTTTTGCTAGTGCATTGTAGGTGCTGGTTTTAAAAAAATACCATTTTGGTGTCTAAAGACTGAACTGCAAATTGAGATAAATGGGACAATTATTGAGCATTCAGAAGTGGAAGATCATAACTTCTCCCTGAAAGGTGCAAGGGTGAGATAGGGGTGGTGACAATTAGATTGCTGAGGACTGGTGTTTAGCCTTGTTGTTGGCTATTATGCAAACAGACAATGGATGCAAGCATTTGTTTAGTCTGCTTTCATGCAGGGACATGAGGAAACACAGAGAATGGGAGATATGTTTACTTTTATACCCCTTGCTCATTCAAATATGATTAATGTGCTATAAAGCAGAGTCTTAATCGAAGATGATGTTGTCAAACAATAACTAAATAGGGAAATAAACGACTTCATCATGCTCTTTCCTCAGAAGCAGGCGAACTGTCAGTGCAAAGTCATTAAAATATGATAATGAAAAATAGCTCAATTAAATGTTGTTATAGCTGTGACCTTCATTCAATTAAGACACAAGAAAGTGTCTGCATTTTGCTTTGCATTTAACTGCCCTAAATTTAGAATATAGATAAAATCATTATTCAACATTTGCTGATACATGCAATTAAAAGCCAGCTAACTAAAAATGAAGTTGTAGGAGGAGAATAATAATAATAACAATCCTGGCAATTCTCTAATCATATATTAAAATGTTTATTTACTGTCTCATAGATCAAGAGGGGTGCAGCATTTTCAAGCTGAAGAAATATTTCAAGGATAAAAAGAGCAAGGAAGAAGAAATAAGGGGTTGGAAATAAGAGCAATGGGATAAAATTAAGAACATGCGTATTTAGGCAGAATATCAGGAAAAAGTTTCCGATAGTGAAACCAATTAGCTTGTGAAATAATATTCTACAAGGATTATTTCTCCTCCCATGAGAGGTTTAAATGTAGATTGGACATTTTTTGCCAAAGACTAAGCTGTAAGCAAGAATCCTGCACCGGGGGGCTGAGTAAGTGGGGGCCCGAAGGCCTTGGCCCCCATCACAAAGAGGGTTGTCATCTGAAATGTGTAAAACTTGCCACATGTCCATCATCTTAGCTCCCCTCAGCAAAAATAAAAGTCAGCGCCTATGCCCTACACTGCAAACTGGTTGGACAAAATGACCCATCAGAGTTTTTTTTCTTTCTAACTTCTGTGTTTCTAATTGTACTTTATATAAGGAATTAGGTCAGGATATAGCACACAGTACTTACACTTGTACTTAAGTCCATACCTGTGTTTAAGTACTTAGGCACATAAAGTTAAGTATGCACTTAGGTCCCATAAAAAACTATAGGATTTAAGCAGCTGCTTAATGTTAAGCATGTCCTTAGACTCTTTGTAAAACATGTTGTTGAACTGGCGCCTCAATACTGAAGAAAAAAGATCCTTTCCAAAAATATTGTTTTTTGGTGCCTTTAGACAGATTGGTTTTTCATGACAAAAGTAACACATGGACTATGTTACTGTATTATTAAAAATCTAAGTGTTCCAGAAGGGTAAAGCAGAACTTTTAGAAAAGCTTTAAAACAACTTACTCTACTGAAATAATAATTCACAGACAGCTTTATTGCTTAGTGTCCAGTTAAACAAGACATTCAACATTGATTCCTCTTCCTACTTTAGGTCTGGTTCCAGAATCGAAGGGCTAAATGGAGGAAAACAGAGCGAGGCGCTTCAGATCAAGAAGGATCAAAGGAAACAATGACGGAGGTGGCACCCCCTGTTCGGAACCTCAGTTCCCCCTCTCCAGTTGACCCAGCCAGGAATAAGAAAGAGAGTCTGGAAATTCAGCAAAGGTAAGAGTAATGCATGTCTTGATCATCTTGTGCAGAGGCATAGTTTGGCCATTTTGCACCCTGGGTAGGGGCCACCACAGAGTGGCTGCTATTGTGACACTCCCCTAAGTTGGAGCCTGGGGTTGGTTCTCCACTCCCTCCCACTTAGTTCTGGAACTGCACACACGACCCTCACTGTAAGTTATTTGAGACTTCTAAGTCGCTTTCTCTTCTCTGCCAGTCTGAGCCGAGCAGTTGGCCCAACGGGGCCTTTCTTCCCTTCATGTCTTCCTGGGACTCTTCTCAACACAGCCACCTATGCTCAGGCTTTATCCCATGTTGCTTCTCTAAAAGGTAAGCTACTGTGTTCAATAAATTAAGAACAAGAGTGGATTTTTCAATGTAATGGGTCTGTTCTCCCTCGAATGAATAGGAAATCTCCTAGAAAAGGCCAAGTCCTACCTTTATATATAAGAATAATGGCACTGATTTTGATGAGGCATGTGAGGAGCAGGTGTAACATGGGATTCTTAACTGCATATTTTTCATGAATTTGGGTCAAAATCATACTAGTCCTACTGAAGTCAATGGGTTTACTCACAGGTGTACAGCAACAGGGTTTGGCCATTTAGAGTTACTTTGTGTGCACTTTTTTTAGAGTCAAATTTGTACTGATAAATTCGCTATACAATACATGTTCTTTTGTATCATACATTACCTGGCACTATCACTGAGTGCGTGTTCCATCCACTCTTTCTATGTGTTTGGCTTTGGAGTATGTCTCTGCACATAGCCAGCAATCTCTTTCTGAGTGGTAGGACCTCTTTAAGGAATTACATTACCTGAATGTAAGTGTGTGGGAGTATACATAGTCATTCCCCATTTCCTGGGGCACATGCATTGAGATGGGAACGCACTGTACCCAGGCTCCCTAGCATTGCCAAAAAGCAGCACTATGCATCTTTTAAAAATAAATTACCAGCTGTTCCATTAGCTGTTCTTTGCCTAGCAATTTATGGGTGTAACCAGGATGAATTCAATTTATAGATTTATAGGATGTGAAGACCCATAACACTGCCAAGCACAAAGTGGTACATTTTGATGCCATATACGCCGATGTAATAATAGACTTTATGAGGAAAGTTACCCAAAGCTTAACACCTGGTCCCCATCAATATACTCCTTTTGATTTGTGTTTTTTAAAAATAAAAATTGGGTATATTAAAAGAGATTCATATTTATAGTTCCTGGGACCTTGCGTTTTAGGGTCAATTCAGCCCCCATTGCCAAGGAGGCAGAATGCAGGCAGGCAGTTCACCCCATGCAGTTTTAGTAAACAAGGCCCCAGAGGTTAGTTTATGGAGGAGCTACATAAGGTATTACTTGGCCCCAAACTCCATAAAGGTTATCAGTGCTCAGGAGGGGGTCATAAAGGATTAAAGCAACTGCAACTGTACAGATACTCTAGTCCTCTGCTCACTGTCAGTTACATCTTGGATTTTGTTTCAGAGCAGAAATTACCTCTCTGATACAGGGATGTTTGCAGTTATTCAGATAAATAGTTTAGTTGCCAAAAGCGCAATTCTGGGGCAGCTCAAAATGTTTGCAAATTTATTGAATAGCTTTTGATTCAAGGAAAAAAATGTGGGCAAAACTTTGGAAAGAATATGTTGCATCTCAGCATTTTCAGAATGAATCATTTTAACTTGTTATCACAAAAGCAAACTTTCATTATGAAATTTAGGTAGATTGAATTTTTATTTTAAAAAGTAAAAAAAAAACTCTCAAAAACCGCAGAAAGTTAATTCCACTCGAACCAATTTTTTACAATTTTGTTTCCTTTCAGATCACCCTGAAATGATTTTTCCCCAGATTTTCCAGTGAAAGCACTAAAAAGCAAACTGAGCTATACAGTTTTTCTCTAAAATAGTAATCATGTAGCCTAGGGACAGAAAAAATCCTTGTTACTTTTAGAGGTGTGCATTATACAGCCTGTTGCTCAAGAAGGGGGTGTGGGTCTCTGAACTGGCCTCATATGAATATTTTGAATAGGTGGGTTTGTTCCAGCTCATCTCTACCTGAAGTGTCCCCTTCCTCCCATGCTGAGGTATAACTACTAGGGTCTGCAGTCTGGGTGGCAGGGGTGGCAGCAGGGGTTGGGCCAGATGCTGCAGTGGTGACAGCTGGGCATGCAGTGCAGGGGTTGCTCTTGAGCCCCCTCTAAGTGGGCACCCACCACTGGTTCCCCAGTTGGCTGCCTTATGGTGTTACTGTTCCCATTCTTTGAAAAAGATGACATCTAGACTCAGACTTCATGGCCCAAATGCATGAATAATATTGACTGCCCTGTGTGGGGGAATACCAGCAAAACCAATAGCCCCGAGCTAATGCTTCCCATTCAATTTAAAAAAAATCCAGGTATGGATTTGCCTCTCTGTCTGTAGTAGATAGTTGTAAGGATGTGCATAGGTCAAGGTGATTCATGTTAGCATACTGTAGGCCTCAATAGGAACTAGTGAGCTGGGCTGCTGCCTTAAGCTTAGAATGCATTTTGTTTGTTTTGGGGGATTTTTGTATTTTGTGCCTTACTGTGCATGTGGGAAGTTGGTGGTTATTGTTTTAACATTGATAGAATTGATTTCTAGCACATGGGAAGTAATTGTAACATCCCTTTTAAGCAGTCACATGCAGAGCATCTTCACCATTGGGGCCAGACTAGGTATCCCAGAAAGCTTCTGACAACCGTAGGTTCCACGATTCTTTCTGTGACACTGCTTTTTCAAACCGCCAAAGATTTCTCTGCAATCAACAAGGCACAGAGGCTGTGCTTTTGGGGGATTTGTAAAAATGGTACACAGAGAGGTAAAAGCAGATCCAAAAGCAAGAGTATTTAAGAATACACAGCAGCTCCCTTCCTGATCTAGGAGGTCAGGGTGTATTGCGGGGGGAGGGGATGGCAATAAACAGAGAGGCAGGTAAGGCTCCTAGTGATTGAGGTTTGGTGGTTTCAGTTATGGGACATCAGGACATGGCCGTGCCCAAGTCTTTCCATCTGCACTTCCGTGAGGGCCTCTCCTCAATAATCA